CTCAGAGAAGCCGCCCCCTCTTCCGCGTCGTACGTGACTTCCCCCGTGTGCCACTCAATTGTATTCGCAGAGCAGCTACTCATGCCCTGTTTTTAAACTGTAGCTCCCGAGATCATCACCACCGCGCCCACCCTCGAACCCGTAGTACCGAAACGACGACCCTCGAGGATGGGATTCTCCAGCCGGTTTGGTCGCAAATCCGGTGAACACCCCATGATGGAACAGGTGGATGAAACGAACGAAGATAGGACCTATCAGCGTCGAAAGAATGTGCGAACAGCTGGTGGGGACCAGGGAGGGAAGCAAATCACTTTCGACGACTCGAGACGGCCAGTGTCCTCGCATCACGCGCCTCCCGCATACGGCGACGAAAGTACGACGACGTTGGCACTTCCCATCAATCGATTATCCGAATCATCGAGGTCAGATGCCAGCTCGGGCGATAGGGTATATGGAACCACGACGACGACCACCCATACAGTTCACACCACAACAACCTTCTTTAGGCTCCCGCGCAGGAAACAGAAGCAGCCCGAATCTTTGTTCCCTATTGCACACCTCCAAAAGAAGAACTTGGCTGAGGACTCTGATATGTCGACCTCCTCTCACGTTGCTGGAGGTTCAAACGCGCTGGCAAGGTCACGGTCTACCACCCATTTGACACCAACCCCATCTCGGCCGTCAACTCAGCATGGTGCTACAACGCCCCCAACAGGTTCTTCTACTCTGTTTTCCAAATCGAGCTCACCAGCAACTGCTCTGTTTCGACCAAGCTCACGGAATTCCGGTCGCGCGTCACCTACACGGGCACAGCTGCATAGGCGAGGTAGGTCCTCGACCCTGAGCTCCCTAGGTAAAGTCTCGCCAAGAGAATCCGCGGAGGATTACCTCGCTCCTCCGGCAACCGCCAGGGCGTCCATGTCAACAGGCAGGAAGAGCTTCGGGGATCTTCTCGGCCTCGGCCGATTACGTCAGAACTCCAGCTCGACGCTGACCCAACAAGGAGCCATGACTCCAATAACGCCAGCGTCGGGCAATTCAAAGAACAATTCGATACAACTTCCAAGGGACTCGATTATTCTACCAGAACGTCGTGAAGATGATACACCGGGAAAATATCTCGAACGATTGTTGGAGGTTGTCAGTCGGAGCGTTATTGCTGCAATTGTCTCCAAGGGTACAGATCAGTTTTCGCAGGCCGTTCTCCGAAGCTACATGCGCAGCTTCAGGTTCTTTGAAGATCCGATGGACATGGCTATCCGTAAGCTTCTCATGGAGGCGGAACTGCCCAAGGAGACTCAACAAATCGACCGCACCCTACAAGCGTTTGCCAACCGCTATCATGAGTGCAACCCTGGCATCTACGCGACTGCGGACCAAGCATATTTCATTGCTTTCTCATTGCTGATCCTGCATACCGATGTGTTCAACAAGAATAACAAGCACAAGATGCAGAAGGCAGACTACCTCAAGAACACGCGCGGAGAAGGCGTGTTTGATGAGATCCTGGAGGTGTTCTACGACAATATCACTTATACGCCGTTCATCCATGTCGAGGATGATCTGGATATCAATGGGGAGCGTATCATTGCTCACAAGGCGAAAAAGAAGTCGATCTTCCCCCATACCGCTCCCGATCCAGCAAAACGTGTCGCCAAGGAACCGATAGATCCTTACACTCTGATCATCGACAATAAGCTGGACATCCTAAGGCCCACGCTGAGGGATGTGATGCATCTGGAGGACCCATACAGTTACCTGGGGACGGCCAGGACGCTCAACATGAAAGAACTCCACAAAACCTTCTTCAAGACTGGCGTACTGCAGATAGTGTCAGCACGATCACGGCCAGACGCATTCATGTCTGATCAGACAGCCAACAACCCGCAAGATGCACATCCAGGCATCGTTGACATCAAGATCACCAAGGTGGGTATCCTCTGGCGAAAGGACACCAAGAAGAAGAAGACAAGATCCCCGTGGCAGGAGTGGGGTGCCATCCTTACTGGAGCTCAACTCTACTTCTTCCGCAACACCACTTGGATCAAGCATCTTATGCACCAGTTCGAGGACCACGTCAAAAGGGGTCATGACGGTGATCCATGCATTTTCAAACCGCCTCTGGAAGAGTTCAAGCCCGATGCGTTAATGTCAACAGATGGTGCCGTGGCACTTATGGACTCTAGCTATAAAAAGCACAAGCACGCCTTTGTTTATGTCAGGCACGGCGGGTTCGAGGAGGTCCTCCTTGCCGAGGATGAAAACGAGATGAATGACTGGCTGGCCAAGCTCAACTACGCTGCTGCCTTCAGAACATCCGGAGTGCGGATGCGGGGTGTGGTGGGGGCTAATCTCGACGGGCAAGGGCGCAGAGCCATCAGGAGGCTCGACACGGGCTCTCAGCGTATACAAACACCAACAGGAGAAGTTTCGGTATCACGAAGCAAGATTGACCACAAGATGGCGCAAGACATACTGGCCGCTCGGAGGGCGATAATGCTACAGAAAATTGCCGATGCCAACGAGAAGCTCTTGCAGACAGAGAAGACACTGGAAATGCAGCTTCGGAACTCGAGGCACCTCCAAATTCTGGCACCGATTCAACCCAAGACGCGTGAGCAAATATTGCTATCCGCAGCGCGAATGGCAGCACAGCTGAAGTGGACGCGAATGGAGATTTGGAAGCTCAAATGCCACCGAGACATCTTGTTGATGGACCTCGAGGAGGAGCGCGAGATGTTGGGCATGCAAGCTGAGACTGCTATCGGCGCTTTGACACCCAGCAAGGAGCCTCTCACTAGAGAGGATACAAGAACCAGTCGCAACTCGGGTTATCCGCAGAGTCCTCAGTCTCCTGTCCAGTCCTTGATGGGCAAGGTACCTACCATTGTCAGGAAGCCAGACGAAGACTCTCCGCAAGCTGACGCTTTCCAAACACCGCCACCTAGTGCCACTGGCCCAACATCCCAGCAAAAGGAGGTAGAGTATACTGACCCCCGCAAGAAGTCGGTGTCTAGTGCTGTATCTTCCAGCCGCTCCTTGGCAGCAACCCCATCAAGAGGCTTGACTAGCTCGGGCTCAACTTCGGAAAGCAAATTTGATCAGGACGAGATCGATGCCGAAGAGCATGACCTCTTGGCGCAAGCCGGCTTGCTCGAGTCTGCTCGTCGTGGCTCAGAACAGAGGCCCCCGAGTTTGGCTACAGATACGGATGGTAATGCTCAGTCAGAGAAGGAGAAGCACAAAATCCGCCGCAGCTTTCAACGCACTCTTCGCGAGGGCGCCGGCCATATCTCTCATCACCGCAGCCGGAGGGGTAGGGATTCTGCCAGCGCTAGCGTTGTGTCAGATGAGGCCAGCCAGGAGGGTCCTGACGTACTCGTTCGCAGCACTGGCTCTTTTGTGGTACATGGCAAGAAAGCTTCGGTCATCAACTTTGGCACAGAGCTCCAGTTGCAGAACATGTCCCCGGAGGAGCGCATCCGTCACTGGAAGCAGCGCGATGACGCGTCGATTGCCGAGAGCACCGAGCGTTTCGGCTCGGAGAACGGTGGCAGCCGTGACCAGGCCATCGCGGAAGGGTCTGACTTCCGGTCCATCCTGACTGCCAGGTCAGCCTCTCACGCGCGCCGTGAGCACCGCGGCTCCGCCGCCAGCGCTAGCACTGCAACCGCTAAGAGCTTCAGAAACCTGCACAGGAAGTACTCTGCCTCCCAGCATGCGACAACAAGGAGCGTTCCTCCTTCGTCCGCAAATCTGGCCATTCCTTCGGATGAAGAGAGTGATGCCGCCGTCAGCTTTTCAGACGGCCGACGGACGCCTCTTCCCCCGATCGAGGGCGAGTTGGAGCCAAGCGAGGAGAATGACGGGCTCCTAGGGCGACATGAGATGCTGAACATGACGCCGCCGTCCAGCAGCCGTGGTGAGAACCGCGAAACCGTCTTTTTCACCCCGCAGTCAGCTCCTGCGGCTACACGAGTTGTTTCTCCGTTACGAAGGGGAAGTGAGGAGGGTAAGGAGGTCAGCAGCAGCAGCAGCAGCGATAAGGACCATCGTCCTGCGTCGTCATCGGCAGCGGCGGCTGCGACGGACGTACTACAGGAGGGGGAGGAGTTGGTTGTGAGCCCACCACTACAAGAAGCTATCAATGCTTGATTTTCTCTTTGTTGTTATGGTTGAGGCGATTGTTGGTGTTGGTGTTGCCGTGGTTGTTGTGTAAAAAAAAAATACCCATCTGTTTCAGAACCACATTCGCTCGCTCGATTATGATGATGCGTGCGACAGTCATCCATACATACATGATTCGAGTATATCTTATTAATATATCCTTTATGAAAAGAAGCTTCCAAAAACAAACAAGCCTGTATATTACGCGTCTTCCTCAGACAGACTCTTCCTTTCTTGTCCCTACCTACGAAAGCAAGCACGATAGAATACCACCGTTTCTTCGTCCAAGACTCTCTCGGGCTAGCTGTGCAACAATTCCAGCGCCGGTCTTCTATTCTCTACTCATTTCCTTTCACAGCTTCTCAACTTCAGCTTTCTTAATACGTATTGGCCATTCTCTTGTTGGCAAAATCTTCTTCTTGTGTTCCAGCAAGAGATTGCACATGTTTGGCGGGTAAAACTGTGATTCATGGAGGTCTTATAGTTTCTGTGTCTGCGTGATGAGGGTCGGTTGAGTGAGATCATTTGGATGAAAAAGGTCAAAGTTGGTGTGAAAGAGGCGGCCCGGGGAGATGATACCTACCCATCCATCAAATTGTCACTAGTTTAGAGAGTGAAGAAGGAGGAGAATGGGATCGAATAAGGCTCTATTAGGCATGCATAAATTGATCGTAAAGAGTTTGTTAGTATTTATCTACGGGGAAATACCACATATTATATGAGTAAAGAGATTGTAACGGAAGAGAGATATTACAGTAGAGCGAAATTAAGAAAGTTGTTATATTCTCTCTTTACTTGTTGCTGCGATGACTGGCTATAGCCACCGGTTGCTTCTTGAGCCAATTATACGCCTAAGCTACAGTCATAGTCAAAAAATACTGTCCCCCCTTACCATATTGGATATGTGGGGTGAGGGGACAGTATTTTTTTGATTATGAGTTTATATGAGCCTGATCCTATCTTTTATCTTGGGTATACAGCAAAAGAAGTCGGTGCCTTTAACGTCCCTACCGTCTTTGGCTACGACTCCTATCCCGCCTCCCTCCTCCACGATCCCGATCGCGGTCACGGTCCCGTCTGGATGTTGACAGACTCCTGTCCCGCCTACTGTGGTGATGGCTGTTACGGCGAAGATCCCCTCCTCGGTGGTCTCTACTTTCCCTATCCCTATCCCTATCGCGATCCTTATCCCTATCGCGACTTCTCTCACGCCGACTGTCCCGGTCCCGGTCACGGTGACGGTCTCGCTCACGATCGCCGCCGCGGTCCCCGCGGCTCCTCGATCGGCTGCGGCGACGGACCATCGAGCTTCGACGGCGATCATCTCGCATGTCGCGGTCTCTGTCTCTGTCTCTGTCCCTATCCCTGTCCCTATCCCTATCCCTGTTTCGTTCACGATCTCTGTCACGATCACGGTCCCGGTCGCGGTCACGATCGCGACGATCCCTATCCCTATCCCGTTCACCCCTCTCATCTCGGCCTCGGTCGCCATCATAGCGATCCGGTCCCGGACGAGGTTTGTCCCGGTCTCGTTCCCTGTCCCTTTCGCGCTCACGTTCACGCTCCTCCCTGGCCTCTCTGGCCTCTCTGTCCCTCTCCCGATCTCGCTCGGCAACGACCCTCGCAGCAGTGGAAGGGACATACCGGTTATCCGAGTCAATCAGGGGGGCTTCACGTTCACGTTCGCGATCGCGGTCACCCCGATCACCAGCACGGTTATGGTCGCGGTTGCTGCTGCTGCTGTTGTTGTTGTTGTTGTTGTTGTTGTTGTTGTTGTTGTTGTTGTTGTTGTTGTTTTTGTTGTTGTTGTTGTTGTTGTTGTTGTTGTTGTTGTTGTTGTTGTTGTTGTTGTTGTTGTTGTTGTTGTTGTTGTTGTTGTTGTTGTTATTGTTATTATTGTCCCTGCTGTCTCGGGGAGTGTCCCTGGCGTCTCGGTCGTTTCCTCGTCTCCGCTTGAGATCAGGCGACCGGTCACCTCCGTTGGTGCTTCCGAGGGGGGTGCCATTGCCGCCCCCGACACGCTTATCGTCGATTCCCGGGATGGGCATGCCCTTCTCGCGGGCTTGCTTCTGCGCTGCTAGGTAGGCCTTGGCTTCCTGCTCACGCTTCTTCACTTCGGCTTGTTTCCAAGCTTCCTTTTCGTCGCGGTCGAGGTGGGAGGGTGGGCGAGGGGCGGTCGAGGCTATGGAGAGAGGGGTTGTGATCATGGGCACGGCAATTGTTGACATGCCGGTGGTGGTTGGGCCGCCTGGGGTGGGCGGTGCTACTCGTGTAGTAGAGATAGGAGCAATGGCAATGTCCTTGGTGACGGTAATATTAGGGCTCTTGGGAATTTGTGTGGCGGCGGCACCGGCGGTCGTATCTGTTGTTTCAGCTTCCCGTCGCTCACGCGAGCGGGAGCGGCTTCTTACTCGCCGATCCCGATCTGCTGGCCGCAAGCGAGACCGCGAACGATCCCGGCGATCAACTCTAGGGCGTGGAGAGCGGCTTCTGTCACGGCCATCTCGTGTGGCGCGTGAACGGCTTCTAGCCCGTCTGGTGTCGTCTCTCCTGTCGGTGATTCTGACTCGTGAGCGGCTCCTGTCGCGACGGTCTGTCGCCCTCCGTCGAGAACGGCTCCGATCTCTGACATGATCCTCTCGTCGATCGTCTCGGCGGTCCAATCTGGGACGCGACCGGCTACGCTCTCTCCGATCACGAAGACGGGAGCGACTGTCCTCTCGCCTGTGTGAACGGCTTCGCTCGATCCGCCGCGCGCGCGGGGAGGCTGACCTGTTGTCTTTCCGTCTCCGATCGTAATCACGGCCTCTGTCTTTCTCACCCTCCCTGTCCTTCTCCTTCTCCTTGTCGCGATGTCCGCGAGTCCCTGGAGAAGGACTCTTGCTCCTTCGCGACTCGACCCGGCTGGCGGTTTCCTTCGGTTCCTTGACGTCTTTAGTGTCAATGACCTCCTTAGCTTCAGTGACGTCCTTTGTCTCCTCAGTAACTCCTGGTTTTCCCGCAGTATCTGCTGTCTTCTTGACCTCAGAGACCTTTGGTGATGCTCGGCGGATTGGATCGATGGCAGATGCAGGCTTTGTCCGTCTGGGTGGTGGTGCCAGGGTAGTATCGACCTCTAGCTCGGGTTGTTTCGCAGCTACGCGCTTGCTCTCGCGCAAAAGGTCGGCCAACGCCTCTTGTTCCAGGCGTTCATTATCCTCTTTGGAAAGTTGCGTTTTCACATCCTCCGGGCGGCCATGGTCGTTCCTGGCTTTGGCGTCCCTACTAAGGCCCCTGTCCCGACCTCTTGACCTGTCTCTCGACCTCCCTCGGCCCCGGTCCCGGTCACGATCACGATCACGGTCTCTGTGGCGATCACGATCCCTGCTCCGGTTTCGATCCCTCTCCCGGTGGCGGCGTTCACGGCTGAGTTCCCTTTCCCGTTCACGTTGTTCCCGTCGTGCGCGCCTCTCCTCGCGTTCCTTTTCCCTGATGGCGTCTTCCTCGAGCTGCTTCTTCCTCCGCTCTTCTCGTCGCTTCTGCTCTTCCTTTTCCTTGATTTCACGCTCCAGTCTTCGCTTCTTCTCCTCCACCAATCTGAGCTCTTCACGTACGCGTTCCCTCTCTGCACGACGCGCGGCAGTCTCGGCTGCATATTCTTCGTCCGTCTTGGAGCCGCGGATACGCTCTTCTTCGGCCGCCTCGTCACCTATCTCTGCACGTCGAAGTTTGCGGAGATGAGCCTCGAGTGCGTCGGTATCGATGAGGCTCTCAATAACGGCCTGTGCCTTCTGGTAGACTTCGTTTCGGTCGAGGGCGCCGTCGATGAGGGCCGCTGCTTTGCCTCGGTCGAGGGAAAGCAGTTGTAAGGGGTTGCGCTCGACTTCTTGCTCGGCTACTTGGAGGATTTGTTTGACAATCTCGGATTCGTGGTCCTAGAGTATGTTGAGTCAGAGTTATGAGTTATGGGCTGAAGATGCCATGGGAAAACTGACACTAGCGAACTTCTCCCAGACTTGTTTCCGAATGGTATCATATCCGCCCTTTTTCTTGAAGCTGTGAGCTAACCCTTCGATCGCAGATCGTGTGGCCGAGGTGAGCGGTAGGTCAGACGCCTTGAAATTCCTGACGACAATCGGAACATTGATCGGATTCGGCGTGGCCTCCTGAGCCTCCGCGCCCGAGGCAGCAGGAGCCGACGGGGAGGGCTGAATGGCGGTCGACATGATCAGGCCAGTGGCGGTACCGCTTGAGGTTGGAAGTGTGCGCAACGGATCGCTCAGCCACTTATGAGGCTTTTATATAATGACCACGATACGCAGAATGGTTGCGCAAGTGAAGGGTGACCGGGACCTTAAGGCCTCATTGCTGTAAACCTTGGTCGGCGGGGTGCCGGGAAAGTGGACGAGAGCGTAACTCGGGCAGCGTGATCGGCGGATGAAAGTTGAAAGAAGGATTCAATTCATTTCGTGAGTCGGTAAGTGACGGATACCCAGCTCCTACACTAGTCGAAGACTGTCGCTTGGGAGAAAATCGATCCCAAGTGGGCGTATAATTGGCTTGTTGGTCTCGTATATCTACTGTATTTGGTGGTAGAGTGCTCGGAAACGCGATGCCCGGTGCAAGGAGTGAAGCGCGTTGCAGGAAGGTTGGTTGCTGGACCAGAAAGTTTCAGTGGGGGTCCTCCCGACGATCAGGGAGCCACGGGGCCAAGCGGGGCCGGTAGGCGTATCGAACAGGGGGGTGCCGTGCCTGGACTCGGGCCACCCTTTCCCTACCTACAAACGGAACAGCTGCTCAACTCAATTGAGTCACCAAGGAAGTTGATTCAAGGTTCCCTTGCGGCACGGGCCAACGGGCAGGACTTTGTTCTTCATGCTCCAGGTTAAGGGTTAGGGCCAGAGGCTCATCAGTCCGACCTTCAGAAGACGAGCTCGCCGGGACCTTACTTGTACGTACGCACGAGCCGCAAAGACCACAGTGGGTGCTGTACGTCCACTCGACCTAACCATCATCGCGAACATTGTCATTTTGCGCTTCAACCCGCGTCGTCGTCGATCTCACCCATACAAGTAGTCGCTGCTCGAGGGGCACAGTATAACGCTGAGAAAGAGGACCGAAATCGCGGTTTCAAAAAGAAAAAAAGCAACCATGGTTCACAGAATGGTCTTCTGGGCCGGCTTCGGTACGTTGCCCCGCTCGCTCACCATGGGAAATAGGACATGATTCATGAACCACATCAATCCTCCACCAATTGATACTCCACATGTTGTCACAAACGCCCATATTCCTGGCCTATCTGTCTTACATTCTCCATCTTCATGTCGACATCATTATCGCTAACTGCCGCCTTCCAACTCTGCTCCTTCAGGCTTGGCTACCCGCGCCTGGTCATTGGGCATCGAGCGACGACCCATCCTCGGCAGGTCTACCCTCTGGGGCTACCCCGTCTTCGCGGCCATCGGCGCCAGCTTCGGCTATTGGGTTCAGGGAGTGGACGAGCGACAGCAAGCTATACTTCAGGAGCGCAAGCAGGCCATTCTCGACAAGAGGGCGCGGAGGGCGGCGCGGCAGCAGGAGCAGGCCCACGGTGAACCCGAGGCGGCGGCGCATTAAAAGGGCTGATACGGATTCTCAAAGTTCCCGGTAAAACGGTACGGGGCGAGGGAGAAGGATAACCGACATCGATGGACGCCGAAATGGGATGGGGAAGTCTGAGAGTGGGACCTCATGGAATCACAGTACACTGGGGAAGAGAGAAAGAGGGACGCAAGGGCAGATAGATAGATGGGCAGGAAAGGGAACCCACAGGACCTTTACGGCACGCCCAGCCATCGAAGAAGGGAAGTCAGCACATGATAGACATGCTACAGGCAGACACAGCAAGCAGGTAAACAAGTGTCTTGACAGTCGAGCTCATTTGAATTCAATGCTCTGATCTCCCTTCCCGTTTTTGCCTTTCCCTTTCCCTTCCTCTTCTTCCTCGGTTATTTGCCCCAGGTTCGCTTCGCCGCAAACTATGCGGTGGTGTTGTAAGCCCCGTTTAAGATCCAGGTATCTCTATTTACCTACTCTAGCTCTGTGACCTAGCTGGCGCGCCACCACCAGCTAACAACTCTTGCAGTTTTCTGCCTATCTCCTTCATCTCACCGTCGCCCTTTCCTATGCTCTGCCGTTCAAGCAATGGTAGGATCCTCCCGCTTCCTCAACAGCGTCAAAATAGCCTGCGCCGGAGCGAAATCTGTACCGCTCTCAAACTCGGTAATGACACCCGCAATGTACTTGCTGTGTGTGTTATCAAACATCAGCCGGAACGACTCAGCCGAGCATCGCTCGGGGTCAATCTCGTTGTAGGTGAGCGAGTCCACCGACACACGCTCGCGGTCAAAGTTGATAGTCTCGCAGAGGGCCACCACCTTGACGTTGGCGGCAGAAGCGGCCATGGCGACGTCCGCCGTTCCCGCGGGGGCATGCAGAGATCCGTTAGCGAAGATGGCCTCGGTGCCGAGCAGCACGTTGCTCGCCCGCTCAAGGTGCGCCCGCACGCCGCCGAGGTTGGGCGAGTAGAAGACGCGGATGCCGGCCTGCTGTAGCGTCTTGGCGAGCTCCTTGCCGCCCTGGTCGTACGGGTCATCAATGACGGACACGGCAAAGCTTTTCCCGTTGGCCTTGGCCCGCAGAATGGTCTTCTCTACCAGCCGGTGGCGGCCGTACGTGAGGACGACGCCGTCCTCGTCGATGAGCTCGGCGGCGTTTTTGGAGATGACCACCTCGGCCAGGGTGATGCGCTCGTTGATAAAGATGTCGATAAACTCGAGGAGGGACTCCTTTGCTTCGTCCTCGGGGGTGTCGATGTCGAACTTGTTGACTTGGGACTTGAGGAAGCGGATGGCGTTACCCATGGAGAAGGACATGGGACGGCATTCGGTCAGATACTCAATCTGGGGGTTCAAAACATGCGGGACAAAGTGGCGTGACAGTGAATTTCCCTTTGGTGTTTCGTACGACTCAATAACCTATTGTATGTTTGGTCAGTCTCCAGTCCACACAGTCCGGGAATAAGGTTGCCAACCTTCTTGAACGCCAAAAGGGTCGCCTCCAGCCTGGCAATGCTATCCTTCAGCGCAAAAGTAGCCATCTGCTGGCCGACCGCCAGCACGGCAGGGTGCACGTCCTTGTGCGCCTGCGACGTCTGTATCCGCTTGGCCATGGGCACATGGCTAAAGCACTCGGGAATGCTACTCCTCGGATCCTCCTTGATGATGGCAACCGAAGGCCGCCTTCCGTTCACGGACGGCCTGCGACCGGGCACAGATTTACCCTGTTGCTGAGACCCCGCGGATTGACTACCCTCCTGCTTGCCGCCCTTGCCGCTCTTGCCCCCCTTTGCATCTGCTACTGCGGCCGCTGGTGGGACTTCCTTCACTTCCTTTGCCTTTGCCCGTCGTGCTGCCTTCTCGGCCTTGGCCTTGGCTTTTAGCTGGGCGGGAGTGAGCTTCTGTTCGCCGGCGGTGTCTCCTCCGGTAGTAGCTGGTGTGTTGGCGACAGCGGGCTTAGCTTGTTGTTTCCCCTTCTCCTGTGGTGCGGGAGCCCCAGCGGGAGCCCCGGTGGTTTCGATAGCCATTTGTTGTTGTATGAAGATGCGATGTGCTTGGCGAAGTGTCGCAACTGTTGTTTAAAGATCAGATGGGATCCGATTGGGTGAAGGGCGCAGTAAATTTTGCGTCGCGAGTTGACGAGTAGCTGAGGACTCGAGTGACAGACAATGAACAGCCGAGTTTGTGCTTTGAGATACCAAATAACCGTACCGATGCACAGGGGGTGCTGATAGCGATGGTTGTCCCTTTTTCCCTCTTTTCCGTTTTGTTGCGTCAGCACAATGCTAACTCTCAAAGTGCTCAGTGCAAGATCATCTGCCAGATTCTGAGAACTGAGTCACGGATGCGTTCAAGAGGTCGTACCGCCAAAAACACCACCCCGCGCTCCGCTTTTTGTCAGATACCAGCCAATCACCAGCCGCAGATTCCGTCCGACCTAGCCAACGTCACTCAAGAACTCAACTTGTTGCTCCAGTTCGTTGCAATTCATTAACCGCCTCCTCACTTTCAAATACTACTTATTCAATATAGTCTCGCTCCCAAGATGTCTATGGCAGACAGTACACGGATCAGCTATAAATCAAAGCCTCACCGCTAGAGACTCACCCGGAACCCTCCAGCTTGATCGGTAGACTGTTTGTTATCTTTCAATTAGTACGCAGACGTCGGACCTGAGTTCCGTTCTCCATCTAGCATTGTAACATATCGATCCGGTCCATACTTGTACATATTTACATTGCACTGAGAGCTGCACGCTCAAAGCGCCATACTCCCACTTTGCACGACCTCTATAACAACCCAAGCAAACCAACATATAACCTCGTATTCCGACAAGCTAGCCATCTCCAACGGCGCTTATTCATCCTTCTCCTCCTTCTCCTCCTCCTCAGCCGCTGCATCCTCCTTGTTCTTCTTAGGCGTAGGGCCTTGGAAGACCATCCTCACTACCTTCCCAACCTGTCCATCCATCGGCTTCACCTCCTGAACCTTGGGTACCTCGGCAACCGCCTCCCTAATCATGCGCACCACTTCCTGGCACTCCTCCTGCGTCGCCGTCTTCTTCTGCTTCTTATCCTTCTTTTGCAGCAGCATGATTTCCACCCTGTGACCCTTCCGCAAGAAATTCTGGAGCTGCCGTGTGCGGAATCCCAAGTCGTGCGCCGCAATTGCCCAGTTGATCTCCAGCTCCTTCTTGCTCACTTGCTTTCTGCGTTCCTCCTTGGCCTTGGCCTGCAGAGCAGCGGCCTCGGCGCGGCGGTCGACGATGACGCACACGGGCCAGTCGGGCAGGTTTTCGTCTTTCTCAGGCTCGGGCTCGCCGGGCTTTGGCTTGGGCGGCGCCCATACCATAGCCAAGCTGTATCGGATGCGATCCAACCGGTTGATAATGTCCGCTGGCCGTTGCTTCTCCGTGAGCCTGCCGTCTAGGCCGCGCAGGTATACCCAGGGTTCTTTAATCGCCAGGTCGCGGGGCAGGCCGGCGTCCTTCTTCTCGTCTTGACCGGGTTTTCGTTTTCCCCATTTCACCTGGAGAGCGCCTTGAGTCGAGAATGGGCATCGTGTCTGGTTGAGGATGGTAGCAGTCGCGGCGGCAACTGAGAGGCGAGGAAGTAGGATCGTCTGGAGCAGCAGGGGTGCTGAAGCGGAGGCGCTTTCGAGGAAGACCCTCCGAAGGGCAGCTGCGGAATTGTAGAGGCAAGGGGAGGCTCTCATGATGGACTCGGCTTGTTGGTGCGTCGGGAAGAGTTCGCGATGAGGTTGAGGAACTCGAGGAAGGGTTGAGAATGTCGAGGAAGGTTGAAGTTGTCGTCGCGGGGAAAGAAGAAGAGGATCTGTGGCAGTTGACGAGCCTACACTAAACCAGAAACACTCTGGATCGAGGAGCGCAATTGCAGATCCGGAGCATTTCGAGCCAACCACGGAGCTCCAATTCGAAGCTCCCCTGCACTGTGCACGGGCACCCTTGAGCGCCCCACACCTAAGTACCTGGTATTCCCGCGAGCCTCCTGCACGCCCACGAACCGTCTTCGGCCCCACGATCCGGTCGGCCGCCAGTGCTTTGCATATCGCTTTCATGATCCTGGGGGAGCGAGTCTGAACACCCGCGTCGACATTCTCATGGAACGGCTGATGGTCATGAGCTATAGTTGCGACTTCTTACACGAAAAAGCTCTTCGACCGTAGGCTCACTCACTGCTTCAGCAAATTCCAATTCGAATACTCTGAATTTTTCAGATTCACTTTACGACTCCAAGTCGTCGGGGGACCTCCTCACATCCCGTCCCGTTCATCGGTTCGGGTCACATCCATAACCACCCATGCTGCCGTCGATACGACCGCCCATTCGGGCTTCTTCCTCAGTACTCTCTCTCCTCACCGGTTCAGCAATACGCACCACCACTTCCTCACAGGCCACATGTCGACTCACCTTCCAACGACGGACACTTTCCCAGGGGCACAATGTCGTCGACCAAACGCCACCTCCCAACCCTGGTTCAACATCGGCCGGCTCCGGGATAAATTATAATTTACCTCCATTATCATTCTCTTCACATGATCAACATCAGCACTCCCAAGAAGACCACCAACAACATCACCACCACCTACCACCACCCCCTCAAGGCTTCTTTTCCCGCCTCCTCCACGCACTCCGCACCCACCCTGTCACCCTCCTCCTTTCCTCCCGGCTCCAGCACTTTGACCAAGTTCTCGGCTCCCCCTACCACCGCCTCCTCTCCCACCCCTTTCGGATGCTCTTCTCCACCTTCAAGCTGCTCGCTTTCACCCACCTCTTCCTCGAACACGTCCTCTCCATGGCGCCGGCCTCCGGCCCCTCTATGCTCCCCACCTTTGAAGTGGTGGGCGAGTGGCTCGTTGTGTCGCGGTTCCATAAATATGGGAACGGAGTGAAGGTGGGCGATCTGGTGGTTTATCAGATTCCTGTTAGTACGAGTGGGGAGTTGGGGGTGAAGAGGATCATGGGGATGCCTGGGGATTATGTGTTGGTTGATACGCCGATGGCGGGTGGAGGGACTGTGGAGGGGGAGGTGTTGGGGGACAGGGGCGGGCCCGGGGAGGGGGATGAGGTTATGATTCAGGTATGTTTTGGACTCTATTCTTGGTGATGATGAGCACATGGTGCGAATGGGTGGACTGGGGCGACGACGTAAAGTGGAACAAGTGTTGCTAACGAACGTGGTAAATGATTTAGGTACCGGAAGGTCATTGTTGGGTGGTAGGCGACAACTTGACGGCCTCGCGCGATTCGAGGACGTTTGGCCCTGTGCCACTAGCACTGATCAGGGGCAAGGTGTTTGCCAAAATTCAATCGAACTGGCTCCCTAAATTGATAAGAAACCCTTTGGAGAGGGTAGAGCTTGAGGAGGCACTGGCTTGATGAGATACCCATACCCAAACGAAAATAGAAGCAAGCCTGGAGGCAATCCCATGAGTTCGAATCCTTCACCCTCCCGCCTTGGGTTGTTCCCCATGAACACTCCGGAAAAAGTCCACGACAGCTTACTTCATTTGAGCTGAAAAGTCAGGAAACTAATATCCTATAGTACTCTCAAGGGCTGATAAACTACATATTCACACTCGAACCGAGACCAGTGCCGGATATGCCTTCGCAAACGCTACCTCATTTGTTTGAATAACACCAAACGAAACAAGGTGAAACCCACAAGCAAAGAGGGGGGATGGTGTTCTGGCGAACTATATAGATTAGGTCTGCAGGCTGATCATCCACACCGAACAGCCGGAACCACGGCACGGTTTTCGTTATCGGTACAAAAAAAAATAACCCAGGTCGAGATACGCAGACAAAATCGCACGCAACCCTTCATGTCCATCAGCCTCTCCTATTTGGCCATAATTGTCACCCCTTCGAATGGTCGCTCCCTGCAAATACAAAACCCCACGACTTCCCTCCCATGTAATCAATCCATTACTGAACAATGCTGCGCCGCAAACTCCACGCCAATCCTATGCGAAGTACCTCAAGCCAGTCGAAAGCAAGATGAAAGATGCCAGCAAATTGAGGAGGGTTGAGAAGAAATATAACCATCAACCTCTCCCATTTAACCCTCGATGTGGGCTTTGGCATTTCCCTGGCCGAGGAGCTCCAAGCACCGCTGTGCAAGGCTGACCACTTCACCCTCGTCATCGTCCTCCAGTTCGTTATCCGACTCAATCTGGCGGTTCGCAAGCTGTCTAATCATATCCACAATGTCGTTCGATTTTCCAATCAGCCCAATAAGCTTCTTGTCTTCAGATTCGAGGAGCTGCAACAGTGTCCAGATCGCAATGTGTTGAAAAGTGGCGTCGCCGCTAGCGAGGAATCTGCTCAAGTAGCCGTGGATGCCATCGCTTGGCTCGTTCCAGTTGTGAATGAAAACACTGTAGTCGCCCACTGTTCGTTCGTCAGCATGTCAGGCCCAGAAACAACAGTTCATCAAGGATTTTACTGACCTTTAGATGACAGGTTACCCAGAGCCGCAGCACTGTTTCCTTGAACCTCGATGCTAGGTGACTTGGTAAGAGGAATCAAAACCTCAAACACACCGAGCTCCAAAAGATTTGTCTTCAGTTCATCACTCAGCGCCAAAACGGCAATGGCTGCCGTCATCTCCGACTGTACCGTCACTGGAACCTCGAGCACCAACTGCTTGCACTTCTGTACAGCGCCAGCCTCAAGCACCAACGCCTTGTTCCTGTCCGAGCTCGCTGCCAAGTTTCTGAGGGTTGAGATAGCATGACACTGGATCTCCTCGTTATCGGTCGACCCTAAGAGGTCAACCAATGGTTTCAAAAATCCTGCCTCGATGATGGGAGACTCGTTCATTGGGTGGATCGAGATGTTTCGAATGCAGGCAACAGCCGACAAAATGAGCGGTAGATACGACGACTGAAGAAGACGGAGAAGGGGACCGAGACCGCTGGCGCGAACGATTTCCAACTGGTACTTTTCGTCCGAGGCGAGATTCCGGAGTGCCAAGGCGGCCTGGCATTGAACCTTGGGTGAAGAGGAGTCCATCAAGTTGACAAGAGACTGAACAAGCCGAGGCTCGGTCTGCGCAAGCTTCCGCCTGTTATTGGCGTCGACGGCAATGTTGCTGAGGGCAGTAGTGCAATAATACTGGACGTCGACATCAGTGGAAGACAGTAACTGAACCAACACAGGGATCGCGCCTGCATTGACCAGTTGTTGGCGATTTTCATCTATCACGTGTTAGCAATGTCTAGACAACGTCCGTCACGGTACAAGCCTACCAGAGTGTGTCATGTTTAGGAGAGCGCCAGTAGCATTGCGTTGAACTCTCATGTCCCTAGATTTGGCGAGTCGTGTCAATGGTCCCAGAGCCCCGGAACGTGCAATCTTGGCCTTGTTGTCTTCGTGCGTGGCCAAGTTAGTGATACACCCAACAGCGTTACACTGAACTTCGACGTTGGGCGACATCATTTGACGGATAAGGGGGGCCAGACCACCGAGCTGGACGATCAGGACCTTGTTGTCGGCTGTTCTCTTATTAGTCATCTCTACCGCACATAGACACCTTCGGGAGAAGCACCTACTGTTTACGGCAAGGTTCCCCAGCGCCGCGCTGGCTGCCCTTTGTACCTCGATATCGGAGTTTTGGAGAAGGAAGAGGATGGGTTCAAGAGTATCCCGGTCAACTGCCCGCACATCTAGCATGAGCAAGACAAAGTTAGCAACCCGAAGACCAAGACAAAGGGTCCTGATACAGTGTCTCCAACGCTACGTACCTCGCTCGGTGATTTCAGCAAACGTCAGACTTGCACTCCTTTGAAGATCAATGTTCTCCGAGTAGACGAGAGTGCTCAGGGCGCGTAGGGGCTCTCCGGAGAAGAAGTCGGTCTCTCCGCGCTACACAAGTGTTAGCGCTTCCGTGATAACGCAGGCAGATATCGGTACGCATACATTTTCGAGATATTGGAGGAGGTCGGCAACAGCCTCCCGCTCGCTGTCAGCGAGGACGTTATCATACAAACCGTCGCGGGATTTGCCTGACGGGTCCTGTTAGCTTTACTGCACGCATCACATATACATAAACGGAAAGGGAAGAAAGGCATTCAGGGCGTTACATACCTCCGCAGCACGAGGAACAGGAAGCACCCATGGCTGCTGAGGGACGCGAAGCGATCTGCCGTCAACCGCGATGTACAACAGAGAAGCCGGGCGCTTTTGGATGATGCCGCAAAGTGGTGGTGGCGATGATTGTTGTGGTGGAATGCCGGGGAAGTCGACTCGGAGGGCGCCCCGGTGTTGTCGTTCTGGGTCCGGCAGGCGGTCGGTGGTGTGCCCTGGTCGGTGGTCGGGAGTCGGATCGGTCGCTCCACAACAAAGTGGACGGTGGACGCAGGGGGGTTCTTGACGTTTGCGAGGGCCGCGGGGGCGAAGCGAGATCGACGATACAAATGATTAAAGACAAAGCAGCTAAAGCCAAAGCACGCCTCAAACGGAGCTCGGAGTATTGCGAGTTCACTGATAATGTGAAGAAGCCTATGTGTTCTGATGGCTGACGACGCAAAATTCGAGGGACGGGGACGATGTCGAGCGGGAACGGGCAACGAGACACGGTGTTGAATGATTTTCTTTTTTGGGGGGTTTCTGGGGAGGGATTGTTGGGTTGCGTGAGGCAGCGGGACAGCGGAGAGGCTGGAAGGAATCACGGTCTTCACAAAGAGATGGAAGAACAAGCACAGAGAGGCCGCGCTATGTACCAAGGAGCACCGCTCACTCCACTCACTGCTTGGTTGCGAAATGGATGGAAGCACGACGGACACCTCACGGACAGACAATATGGATCACGCTGCCTTGCCCCCGGTGCTGCTGCCCTTCGTTGTTGTTAATCAATGCGAGCAAATCTGTTGAACGGGGACCGGCGGCAGAGGCATGAATGATGGGTGAGCGGCGTCGAAGCTGCCACTGCCTCGCAATCGCGCCCTGCCCACTGAGACCCGAATCACAGAGCGCACCATTACACATACACCCCACAGGGCAGCGAGGCAGCTTCCAGGGCCCGGGCGTCTGGGGGAAAAGTGGGTCGTGCGCTGAGGTGGCACCTGCGGTTGTGGATGCTCCTTGCGACTGGACCTAGAGTAGGGTGCCACTGGATTTGATGTCATCACCACAACGACGACGCCATCCTCCATCCAGGCTTGCCAGGGCCCCAAATTAGGGACGAAGGCGCGTAGAGTATGTAGAAGATACTGTAGGTACCTACTTACTGTAGTGTTTCCATTGATGGGTTGCAACCATTCATTCCCTTTCTTTCTAGAGCTTTTGAGTCTTTCTCTTTGCCGAACAGCGGGTAGTATCTCCTGTCGGATCTTTCCACTCTCAATAGGTAGTGTCCTCCAGTGTAGTATCCTGGTCCAGCCGCATCACAAGAACAAGTCACCTCACCCACTATCACAACCACACAGGCTGTGACTCTGTATACTGCAACTGAAGTGTACATGACCTTTGACCTTTCATTGTCTCCGACCCAAAGATTGTGTGGTGTCTCAGCACCAGGGAATACCCGATTCGTGTACTCTGTCGTACATACAAGGGAACTTGGGGGTCTAGGTGGTTAACGGATCTACCGGTCGCTGTGCCGTGTTTCGCTCAAGACCAAAAAGTGACTTGATGCAGTGACGACCGTTCAGTGTCAGTTAAGTTAGGAAGTAGCGTGGTGGTGTTAGATACCTACGTATCTTGTCATCTCATTTCTTTGATCGCCATGCCACCTGGATTGATTTGTTTTCTTCAGGCCTGGGCACGTTCATGGAATCGTGGCACGTTAATGGCTTGCTTCAGTTGGCCAGCTATATGACCATAAGGAGCTATAGGAGGTGGGAGTGAGCAGCCTGGCGTTGGTGAATGTTTACACAGCATGATGAACGTTCAACATCTGAAACATGGACATAGCTTCCCACATCTTGTACTGCGGTTGCGAGCCAAAGTAAAACCCCCTTGTCACGTACCTGGCACGGACCACCACAGCCAACGCTTCGTGAGCACTGTGTGGTCAACGACCTGGCCCACGGGTTTAACTTACCCATATCACCATAGTATTTGCAAAGACATCGGAGATCTTGCTCCGCAAGACGCAGGTTGCAGTTCTAGACACCTTATTCAGAACCACTGGAAGATATACTCTTGCTTTTCGCATAGCCTATATGACTGTGGGTTCCTCTAGGGAGAGGCTGGTAATTTACTTTTGTTTTCCATTCAGCAACGGCTTTGAAGAGAGGACCCGGTTGGCTTTCATCACAGCACACAGTATCGAGATGGCTGGAGGGTACACAGGATAGAGGAGTTCAGAGCAGGAAGGGCATGTTCAATAGTGATGGCACTGTTCAAGTCAACTTTCATGTACTTGTTCCAGATTTGAAGCCGTTCAAAACACGACCTAGAAAGTGTAGTATGATTTGCCAAGCGATGACACTCTCAACACACATTGTACATATCAATCAAAGTGAAGAGCAACCTTTGTAAGATGTACGCCGGTCTCGGTCACGAATCAAAGGTCGAAAGCTTTATCTACACGTGTGGATCCTTATCGCTGCCCAGCACCTTGCACCAAAATTACCTGAGGGGTCGGGTCCGGGATTACCTACCTAGACCAGACCGAAACACCCCATAGCTGCCGTCGTTATATTGGTGGACGCCCGATAAACCTGGAATGGAACTGGAACCGGCCCAGCGCAAGCAACAAGCATCCCCTCCTCCGTGACAGGCTCCATTGTTGTGTAGCGCTCTGGCAACCTAGGTGGAGGGAGAACTTGACTCCCTGGTCAACGCCGACTTCTGGCCCGCTCCGTCTACATTCAAGTAAACCACTGCTTTATATCACCATCCCTTTCGCTCTCGAGTATTCCGTACATCACCGCCGAAACTGCCGTTGCGGTGAATCCACCATTTTGCCTCCGAACGGGTCAACCGAATACAACAAAGGAACGGCTAGATTCAGCTACCGTACTAATTCCCGTCCATCTCAGTCGATTGCGCCCAAGTCCTCCAACTTGCGACGACTGCCACCTACCTCTAGGTCATCCAACTACTAGGTCGCTTCAACTTTCTTGCCCTTCTTTTTGCGTCTCTTGGCTATCATCCAGACGACGCCCCTCCGCCTTCGTTACTTTGCACTTCGCGGTCGGCAGTTACACACAACTATACACCTCTGTCAAATCCAATTGAAGTCGAAAGCCGAGACCGCCCACGGATTCGGAAACCAAGGGAACAGGACAGGACACGGTCAAGGGGCTGAAAGGAAGAAAGGGGATATCCAAGATATCAGTATAGAAACGGACCCTTAATTACACCGGTTGAAAACTGTGGGTGGACGGCGCGTCCATACTCCGTCAACGGAAGCAAAGCTCCAAGTACCAGGCAAGACAGAACTGCAACGGGGGTCCTTCCCCAATGTATGTTCCACGACGGCGATAATGGACGACTCTTGTACTCCCCCTGACCAGGCGGCTTCTGGTACCGGCAGTGATGCCGCCGGTGTTTCTCCCCAGGCTTCCCAACCTTCCACAGCTTCAGCTGGGAACAGCAATACCGATCCCAATCTCAATGGCCCATTGACGCTCCGACCTGGTCACGAGCTGCCTTTCGTTGCGCCATCATCCTACCTTCGTCCCAAACCAAGCAGTCGCACAATGCCAGATAAGACGTCAAATCCCCTGGACAAGGACCAGATGCAGGGTCTGGTGAGCATCCCATTTCCGAGACAGCACACCCATAATCTTCCTTACCATCAATCCATTCTCCCTTGACTTCCATCCACATGAAAATTCCATGGCCCCAAGCTGCCGCTGCCAATCTAGTCCGGTCGAACCCTTCCGGCTCGGTTGGCCTCTATGCGGGATGCCGGCGTCCATGGCCCTAATCCTTGCTCATGATATGCCGTCAAAGGAGGCAGCTTGGCAAAAACAGAAAAGAAAAGAAGCACAAGAAAATAACAACACACAATCAGCATTTGTTCATGAGCTTCTCGCTGACTGACCATTGATGCAAACAGAGAGGTATTCGCGAGTTCCTCAAGGTCCGCACCAGCTACGATGTCTTGCCGCTTTCCTTCCGCCTAGTCATACTCGACAACGATCTCCTTATCAGGAAAAGCCTCAATATTCTGATCCAGAACGGTACGATAACAAGGCAAAACTAGCTTGGCCAGTGTGGTGATATTGTGGTGCTGACCGTCCTCATTTAGGCATTGTCTCGGCGCCGCTCTGGGACTCGCGCAACGGAACCTTTGCTGGCTTGCTTACTAGCACCGACTACATCAATGTCATCCAATATTACTGCCAGTTCCCCCACGAAATCGATCAAGTCGACCAATTTCGGCTGAGTAGCCTTCGAGGTGAGTGCCATCATCAGGGACTATCGAGGTTCTCTCTTGCGGGGCGTCAGGCTGACGAGTAATGCATGTAGATATCGAAAGGGCCATTGGTGTTCTGCCGCTCGAGACCGTATCCGTCCATCCCATGCGCCCATTGTACGAAGCCTGTCGACGAATGCTTAAAACGCGAGCTCGGAGAATTCCCTTGATCGACACGGACGACGAGACAGGCCGAGAGACTGTTGTCAGTGTTATCACACAATACCGCATCCTAAAGTTCATCGCTGTCAACAACGAGCAGCACACGATGTTGCTAAAGAAGCCCGTGAGGGAGATTGGCTTGGGAACCTACACCGACCTTGCTACGGCGAACATGAACAGCTCCGTTCTGGATGTCATTCACCTCATGGTCAAGTACAACATCTCGGCTGTGCCAATTGTCGACAAGGACAACCGAGTTATGAATCTATTTGAAGCCGTCGACGTCATCCCTTGTATCAAGGGGGGTGCGTACGACGAGCTGACAGCGACTGTTGGCGACGCCTTGTCTCAGAGAGCTGAAGATTTCGGGGGGATTTACACGTGCAGCGAAGAGGATCGCCTGGACTCGATATTCGAAACCATCCGAAAGTCTCGAGTACATAGGTTAATTGTTGTTGACGATGACAGCCGCCTCAAGGGAATCATCTCTCTCTCGGATATCCTCAAATACGTATTGCTCTACGGCGAGGAAGAGGATGACCTACAGGAGTATTAAATGGGAACACGAAGATGGGGCGGCACTTGTCTTGGCCTTAGGTTGGCTATAGGATGGTATGGTTTTGTTTTGCATTGCATGGCGCTTTTGTTTTTGGAGGGTATGTCGAATTAGTGGAACACTAGGGTCGTATATTCTTACATCCTCGATGGGCGACATAGATGGAATCTTCTCTTATCCTGGAACACGGCAAGAGGAGGTGCTGTTATGGCTGAACAATGGCTTACTAGTGGTCCTGCTCTTAAGATTCCTCTTCCATTCCACCCTGTCCCTTACAGCACTGGATTGACGTGGCCACTTCGGTCGTGATGTTCAGGTAGTGGTGAGCATATATACCTGCTTGTAGATATGGATACCTAGTAGGTAGTAGGTATTTGAACGTTCAACTAACAATGAGGCAGGTCTAGATGAGAATGTACTCGCCTTGAGTTTTAGCCAGCGCAATGGCGTCGGCTATAAATTACTATCTAGGTAGAGGTAGTTGTTAGGCAGTGTAAGGCGACTCGGCGATGGTGGTGATTGTCACTTTTTTTTTCCTTTGACACCAGGTCGCTCGCTTCCTAGTTGGTTTCACGTCTCTTCTACTCATTGCTCCACCTACCTCTTAGGTGGGTTATCAGTCTCTTCGGGAAGGAACAGGTTGGACACAAAGAGCGACATGAGAATACGGGAAGCAGCAGTTTACGACAAACGACACGATGCTTCAATCCATGCTCTGGGCTTTTCTGGAGGGCGTTCACAAAGCATCATCAGTTTGCAATCACTTTGGATATCTTGTCGTACTATCGCCTCTCAGATACCTTCTTCTACTTGTTTCGACGTCTGTATATCCTCCAAAAAAAAAAAAAAAGGCATGCAAAACTATCATTACGAACCCGACCGGGCATCCGTTGCATCGGTCGGTGCGCCCTCAACCCCCAACAGCCTCTTGCCCAGACGCGTACCCAAGAGAGGGCAGACAGATGAAAGGTCAAGTACATGGCGCGGTATCCCTCAATCCGCCACAGCAGGTCAACTTCCAGATCCTGTGGCATATAGGCGTGCGAGCAGAAGCAGTGCGACATGGACATCATCCAGTGGCGATGTCGGAGGCTACTCCGATGCAGACGAACTCCAAGATCGAGGAGACTTTGTGCGAGAGTACAATAGACTCGCAGCCAAGGTTAGCTAACCCGCACCTTTCGACTGTTCGTGTTGACAAGCCCACTGACTAGAGGTTATAGCATGGGCTCCGCCTACTTCCGCCCAACGATGATGGCCCTTCGTCGGTAAGTGGCCGTTACCCCTGGTGACTGTATGGACCGCTGACCAACACGATAACCAGAGAGAAGCAACACCAAGTCCACACAGAAGAGGATGGTTTTCCCGCACATTCCGGCGCCACCCGTCGGGCGCCAGTAATGCCAGCTCAGCAAAATCAGGACGCTCAGAACGAAAAGCAAGCCACAGACGGAGCATCAGCGATCTAGCATCACAGTTGGTACATCCAGCGAAGCGAGACATTCTGAAAGACGAAGATTTGCAATCCCTCGTCCGTTTGTGCGGCAAGAGCATGTTCTACCTGCCGTCGGAGTATGCGCCCAGCTCCTTGATCCTCCCAACATGCCTTCGCGCAACCGCCCAATATCTTGTCCAACATGGTAAGAACTACAAACCTCAAACCTCCACACTAGTGAGGCATTTACTGATGGTTATACAGCTACGGAGACACGTGGTGTCTTCAGAATTCCAGGCTCTGTTAGAGTGGTTGATGCCCTCTACGACTATTACTGTGCTGAAGGAGATCCGGACGAGATATCTAGCACAACACGCTGCCCAAACCTCCCGGTCCACATCAAGGCCGGTGTTCATGACGTTGCTTCGGCATTCAAGCGTCTTCTTTCTGGGCTTCCTGGCGGTATCCTTGGATCCCTCACGCTGTTTGACGCTATGGTCTCCATACATAGTCAGTTAAACGGAGATCCTGAGGCCACGAGAACCAAGCAAACCAAGCTTCGTGCTAGAATGATTGCGTTGGCAATCGGTAGTCTTAGGTCTCAGTTACGTCGTGAGCTGATATGTGCAGTTTTTGGTCTCCTGTGCTTGATCGGACGCGTTGCCGAGATAGCACCCCGTGAGGATGAATTTGGCAGACCACTGCCTACAGCAGACTTGATGGGCTACAATGCTCTAGGCATTGTCTTTGGGCCGCTCCTGGTTGGTGATCTTCTCAACTCTTACTCGATACGAGGTTCTAGTGTCCATCTTATACTCCCCCCAGTGAGCCCACCGCCCAACTGCAAGTGGGAACAGAGGAAGTACAAGCAACCAGAGGAGGCTATCGCCCATTGCTTCCCAAATATGGACAAAGTTCATGTTGCCAACAGCATCGCTGAGACGCTTATAACGAATTGGCGAGAAGTTGTCAAGCAAATGAGGAGCCTCGATGTGTTGAGGGTAGTTGGATCGGGCATGACCGATCATTGTACTTCACGGAAGGGATCATTGCGTGCTTCCGTCTCGGAGCCCTTTGTCTTACGGAAGCCTCTTGAGTCTCAACAGAATTGTCCGCAGACATGCCCTTTTCAAGTATCGGAATTCCCTGTTCTTCCAAGCCCGACGCCCGAAACTGGTATGTCCACCTTCATCCAAACGTCGTTAGTCTCTTGCTGACCTGACAACTGACCAGGTGGACGAGGACCTAGTGGAGGACTACGAGCAAAAAGACCTCGACCTACACTTATAATTCCTCGACAGCGTCCAAGATCCTCGCGGTCACCGTCTCGAGATCAACTCAATACGCCCGGGCCTGTAGTGTTACTGTCGCCTACCATGGAGGAGCCTTCTGGAGGTGGTGCGTCTCTTTCGGAGAGACAATCAAAAGGCTCAATTACATGTGCCGACGAAACATCAGCTTGCCAACACCGTGAGGGGCAGCAACTTGGCTCTGGGTATGTCGAAAAGAGACAAACAGGGCCCTTGACTGAATTACGAACTGTCAAGGCTGATTCAGAAACACCCCGGGCCATCAGACGTAGGGGCAGCCTGACCAAAAGCTGCACAGAAGGACGCGATGTCCATCCACCGGTCAGCTTCCGCGACAGAAATGGAAACAAGAGTGAAGGGAATGCGCCGCAGTCAGTTTTTGATACGCCAATGACGAATACCCCACCCCCGGGGGACCGCGGCTCTGTGCCAGAAGACTTAGAGCCGACTCCGAGACCATCTGTGAGAGCCCCATCACAGGACAGAATGTCTATAAGCAGTTGTCGAAGGGATGCAAATGGAATGCTTCCAGACGGAAAGGTCAACCTCAAGAGCTCGGGACACAGGTTTTCGAGGTTTCCAGTTTGGAGACGGAGAGAGAGATCTGACAAGTCGACGGACCCGGTTGAATCAGCTGCAAAACCTCCCAGTCCCATCACAGCCTCATCTGGACGCTCTTCTCTCCAAAAAGGTCGACGAAGACTGTCATTTCATTTGAGGGAATCGACAACAGCAGCTTCTGAGGAGGAAAGGGCGGAACAGCAAGTCGTTGATCCCTCTCAAATTCCAATGGAGCATGCAGCCGGCGCTGAGGAGACTTCAAAGCCAAGTGTCAAAACTCACCATTATGCTGGCGGCCCTTTTAGCCACTTTGCAACGTTAAGCCGGGCTACTGGCCGCATAGCTCGACCAGATCGAAGTCAAGAGGCTCCCGGTAAACCGACAACGGCACACGATCAATCGCATGCAAAATCGCGGGCAAGGTCGTTAGCATCGAAGATACCTCGTGCACGGAAATCCGATCGGCGACTGACTCGAAGGCCGAGCCGGGAGTCTGTACGTCGCAGTACTATTCCCAGGAAGAGCCCTTCCGAACACACTCTTGCCTCTGTTCCTCCTGAAGTTCAACATAAAGAAGACCATACTAACCCTCAAGAGGAGAAGCATGAGCCAGAGTTCCGGCCATCGACTGTCTTGAAACATGACCGCATGACTGATTACACGCCACTCACTATGTCCTTTGATGGAGATCTCCGGCCACCAACAACCCCCGCAAGACCGCTACCTTACTCCAGCAAGTCTTTCACTGGGAGTGCGGTGAGGGCAATGGCTGCCATGTTTAAAACTGCTGCCGCGAAGGACAAAGACCTGAAGAGGCCGGAAAGTCTTCCCATGCCTATGAAAGCGCCTGGCAATGTGCTTTCGCATTATACCGTTAACCCTCCATCACCACAGAAACCGCAGTCACCATCATTTGGATCACCCGCACAACGTAACGGTGGCGTATGGGAAGATGAACACAGAGAACATCCAGAATATAAGGGGAACCCAAACAGGAGTTCTGGACGAGGAAGCCATGACGGGGAGGATGGCGAGGACGACATTCCAATGAGTTCAGGCGCCACTGTAGAAAGGAGTTCCAAGAGATTGGATGAGTGGATGAACGAGCAACAAGGCCACGAGCCATCAAGAAACACTAAAGAAAAGGCCGATGAGAACAACACATTCATGCACAAGGGAGATTTTTGGTTGTCTCGGTCAACGGCAAATGATGACGATAATAGAAGCAAAATCTTGTTCTGCAATCAAGCCCGATACGTACAATTACCACGATCACCTCAAATACCCAGGCCTTTCAGCGCGCCCACTGGATCTCCACATGCCATTCAGAGCTCATGGATGCCAATGAAAGTCGATATTTCACCCCATTTCCTTCAAAGTGATATTAGCCAAAGTTCAGGGCTTCTTGTTCAGCCAACTCCAGCCATGGACATGGCTATCGCGAGCGATATTCTGAGTTTTCAAACGCAAATTCGCCGTCTGCAGAGGCAGCTCGACTTCAAGACGGAAGAAAACAATCATCTCCGCAGCAAGTTGGCAAGCTTTGGTGCAGGACAATGTAGTGTGCCGACAGAAGTCAGCGTACGGCGAAGCACAAGCATCAAACTGAGCGAGCACTTGCGGCAGACGGAACGCGAGTGTAAAGCATGGAGAGATCGAGCAGAAGCGGCGGAGATGAGAGTCGCAATTTTGGAAAGGTTACTGAGGAGGAAGATGGATGGAGAACCATATGAGGAAGAGAGGATTACAGACTCTGAAGCCAAGGCACCGCCCACTACCCAGCACATGTTTACAGCGGAAGTTTACCGAAGCAGCGGGACTGTTCGGGATCGGCTTCGAAAGTTGTATGGTGTGATGGACGGCTGCTCTGAAAGTGATCCCCATGAAGAGTTGGAGGAGGAGGAGGAGGGGGAGGAGGAGGAAGAAGAAGAAGAA